TTAAATATGATAAATTTTGGACAATAATTTTAATTATTATATTTATATATAACTTATAAACTTTATACTTTATGAAAATGTTTTGAATAAGAAACATTATTTTGATATAATTTTTTATATTTAAAATAATTTCTTATTAAAAAATATCTTTGGTCAAAGTTGATTATCATTGATCAAGTAAAGTAAATTTGGCAAACTCTTTCGCGACGGTGAGAGTATTATTTAAAAAGAATGTTTAATATTACTACCTCTGTTCCATTGACATTGGGATATGAGAAGGCTACAGAGTTATTAAGAAAAGTGATGTTATGTGACTGATATTGAAGGCGTTATTGAATTTTTTAAATGCTTTAGATTATTTTGACAATGCTATTAAATATTTTTGACATGTTTATGAATCAAGTAGTAACAAAAAGAATTTGAAACTAAGCAGTATGTGTGTCTCTTTTGTGATGAAATGAAAATTAAACTTTTGAAGTATTCAAATATTCCCGCTATTTATGTTATTTCTTTAATTTTAGGTTTTCATTTTGAATTTGTTGATTTTGTGACATTTTTACAGTATTAATGTATTATAGATGTTTCTATAGTGATGTTATGCCTACAAACAAATATATCTCCATTAATGCTCATACGCAATTTGTCAATCTAAGTATAATATTTCATAATTTATATAATAAATTTCATGCACAATATAAAAGTGTTTTATCCCTCTCAGACAAACTTCTTATTCGTCTATTGGGAAGGTACTTTTTAAAGGTATAATTAATTTTTTTAAAACTAAGATCACTCCTATTGCAGAAAACACGATTAATGGGCTTGATCTCCTTGTATCTAATCTTCTTTGTGAGTTTGTAGAGTGGTGGAAAGAGAAAGAAGCAATTGTTCTCATAGTGTCAAATATCAATTATTGTGTAACAAGTGATATCTATACTGGTCATGCTTGTATCAATTGTTGCAATTTGTTTTCATGTTTGGTTAACAACAAGATATTGTACTCAAGAATGAGAAGAATAGAGGTTTTATACTTTAGTGTATTTAAAGTTAACCATTTTATTACTTGAATAATTAAGATAAAAAATTACGCTGACTTTGATTTTTCTATCATTATAAAAAAGAATATGTATTCAACTTTTATTGAATTGCAAATTGTTATGTTCTTACAGACAAATTATACCGGTTCACATACGGTGTTGTTTTTCCTCACAAATGGACGGCGGAATACATATGATGCTGCTTAATCATTGTTGAATACAGAATACGGAATTTAGTTAGTGCCTTAATGGCACTCCCCCACCCTCATTTCTTTTATTTCCTTTTCCTTTTTTACTTTTAATTTTTATTTAATTTTTTACTTTCAATGATTCTTTTTTAATTAGGAGCACTAAATGTATTACATAGTAAAAAATTTTGATCAAATTTTCATCATTTCAAAATAAATTAATTACTTATTTTGTCTTAGTCGTTATTCATATATAATTTTGTCTTTTTTTCTTCATTCAATTGAAATTACAACCAATTTTTCTCTATACTTTTTTTTGTAATATATTTTTCATATTCATACACTTTTTCCTATAATATAGTAGTATCTCTTATCTCTTTTATATGTTTTTAGTGTGTTTAAGACAATAAATTTATTTATTTTGATTACATTTGATAAAATTTTACATTTGCGCATGTGTGAATTATGTTTCAAAACAATTTCTGGAATTACATTTTATAGTATATGAAGTTACATCTTCTTGTGTGCGAGTTATATCTTTCTATTCGCGAGTTACATCTAATATTTTTACTTATCTTTATCTTTAACTAATTAAATTACAACTGAATTAACTTCTTTTTTACCAATTTATTACAAAAATTTATTAACATACATAAAATAAGTATATTGTATTTCACATTCATATACTTTTTTTTACTTTTCCTTCATCTAATGAACGATGTACATCTTCATGCGCATGAGTTACATCTTCTTATAAGCGAGTTACATTTGAATTTATCTCAACAAGTTACATTATGTATACACCTAAGTTACATTTGTCATTAGTTACATAAAAAAATAAACCTCTTCTATTAAAAACAAAATATATTCATTATTTACTTGAATTAATTGGGCAATTAAACTCTTTATTTATCATTTTCACTTTGAGATCAATGTTTTATTTCTTAATATCCGTATTAGATAAGTTACATTTCGACATGTCTGCAGTTACATTTTTTATCAGCTTGAGTTACATTTCATTACACACGAGTTACATCATTATGCTCCTGGATAATGAAAAAACAAAAAATCGGTTACTGTTCATGCGCGTGAACAATAAACACGCGATTTTCAGTATACGGTTGCACGGTATACGAACTGGTTCTTACAAAGTGTTACCTTCATTTTAAAATAATTTCAACATGTTTACTTTTACACTATTTAATGCTGTACTTTAATTACGGAGTATATTTTATTTAGTAATATCTATAAATTTATTTCTTGAAAAATATTAGTAAATTTGTCTCATATAAAATTTTCAAAATTTGGATTTTTAAATTCTTTACGTTGGGAATTAAATAAATGGTCAAAGTTGTATGTCAGCCTGCGTAAAAGTGAAAGCGTTGCAACTAAAAAAGAACGGAGGAAGTATGTAATTTTTTTACTAAAAGATCATGGATGAGTTACTTTTATTTGAGACACTTGTATTGTTTTGAAATTTGTTTTTTTTTGTATTTTATTGGATTGCAATTCTATTTAAATACTTACACAGATGTCTTAATGTCATTATAGTGCATACATCTTTACACTAATATTAATATAATTTAGTTTTGTATTTGGAAATTCATTGAAAATAAAATTTAATTCGAATCCAAATCGGTCCAAACCGGAAATATAGGTATCGGTCCTGGCCCTCACTAATATTTGTCCATACTAACAATGATAACTTGCAAGTGTCCTATGCAAACTGACTCCTTCGATATTACCAGTGGCGGAGCCAGAATTTTTTCGAAGGAGGGGGCATACTAAAGGCTATTAATGTTGTCTATTCACTCAAAATTTAATAAAAACAATAAAAATGTATTACATTAGCACAAAATAGTTCATTACATACCGCTTGACTCATATTTATAATCTCGGTCGATCAATCATACGAGTTTTAATTTGTTCAAAATGTTGTATATTTTTGTTGGAAAAACACAACCCCAACATTTTCTAGGATCACGATATCATAGACTCTTGTACACTTATGTATCCACACAGTCATAATACAAAGACTCAATCTGACAATATCACTTTATAATATCTTCACTCACTTTTTGTATATGAGTCTACTTCACGTACTCTACCTCACTTGATCGCATACACTTCATCAAACGATATCTTTGAGTCTTCTTCTCTCACAAGAAAGCTCTCACTCTCCTCTTTCAAGGAGACTCTCACTTTCACTCACTCAAGAGCTCTCATCAAAGTTCTCATATAAATGGGAAGCTTCTTTATACTAATCTCATCAAAGTTTCTCTAGAATTTTTTTATACACCATCACACATCTAGATTTTTCCAAAAAGTATCCACAAACTTCTCTTATCTTCTGGAAGGATTTAGAAAATCTCACAATTCTTCAAAATGTTCTAGAGGCTTCTACACACTTCCACATGATTTTAACGAGTTCAACACTTCTCCGGAAAACTCCACATTATTATTCTAGAACATTCAATACTTCTCCCCAGACACATATAGAGAATCTCTTGGAAATCGATCTCTAAAAATTCTAAAATTGTCATGAATTTCTCGACTAAGGAGGGAATCCAACATAATCTCGAGAATGTTTTGATCTTTTTTGTTACAAGAAATGTGACAACGTATTCGTCAAACTCAACACTTTCTAGCTCACTATAACCACGAAAAGCCAACATGTGTGTCATTAAATGTCTAAAATAATCCACACTTGCATTCAAATGAGTGTGGTATGCTGCAGGCAATACTTGTATTACTAGAGACACACATGTATTCTGAAAGACTTTGCCTTTTATTTTAACACTTAATCTAAAATTATCCTTAATTGGTATTTATTTTTGAAAAAAGGAGGGGCATTAAATATATTCTAAGTAGTAGTACTAAAAAAAATTGCCCGAAGCGGGGCGCTTGCGGCTTGCCCCCTCATGCCCCTCCCTAGCTCCTCCACTGAATATTACCAATATGATTAGCGGATTTGTAAAAAGGGTCTTGGGGAATTTTAAAAAGCTGATGTTGATCAAGGAAGCTAATTGTGGGTATGCATAACGAAACAATGTTATGGCCAGGATAATAAACAAACTTTAATGAGGATTCTTCTTTGGTAGAGCACCACAACAGAATCCAGGACTAGTTAGATTAGATAAGCCTACACAGTTATAATTTTGTTGAGTTTATCAGTTTTCTTCTTTGTTTAGTTTAGTGATTCTAGTATGGTTCATGACTGACTGGTTCCAATCTTAAATTTAAGAACCTCAAACAAAATTAGGGTGAATCAATGTCGATTTTAGATCCGATTGACCTGCTTGTTCTCAAAGTAGATTTTGGATGATTTCGAGTAGAAAATAGTACGCTCAAGAAAACTAAAAACTAAAAAATGGTATGCTTAAGAAAACCAAAACCAGGCCTCATTCCAAGCCAAGGCTCTTACACCAGTTTTGATTCTAGAATCTAGACCGGACTTCCAATTCAGTTTTGGGGATGGTCTCAGTCCAGAATATCAAGACCGAACAGTAAAATGGCGAACACACATTAGTTAGCCAGTTAGGGAATGGCAAAGACAGACGAGTATGAAAGTCAATGAATATATACGTCAAAACTGAAGAATCTTATCTTACAAGAAGCCCTATGATATAAGCTTAATAGAAACTAAAGAAAACTAATTCACAGTTGTCTTGTATGAGGGGCATTATTAAAGGAGGAACCTTCTATTCAATTTTCAAGTCTTATTTTTTGGATAAAAAATTATATTTTCCTTCTCACACCCCCTGCCAAATTTTAAAAATTTGCCTCCAAACATCAGTGTCATGTAATATTAATATCACCATTAAGAACACAAAAGAAAGTTAGTTTGATATTGTATGTATAAAAACCTGATTAAAAAATGAAAAACATATTGCTATTCGTGACTGGTTTCGAGACTGGCGGTCTCGTGCCAGTGATTAATGATGTTTTATGCACAACACATGTTTAAATTTAACAATTACACTCGTGACCTCAATAGTAATGGAGAAGAAAAAGGATCATAGTGCACTAGGTTTCACTCTTTGGCCTTTGCTTCAAAGAGAGGAGAAAATCGGGACCCCGGGCAAGGTATTTCCAGCATCAACGATGTAAAGGTTACCTGATACATATTCGGAGGAGTCATGGATTAGGTATCGTACCACAGATGTTACTGCTGGGTTTGATGTGCCAAATGTTCTCAAAGGTACAGTCCTCAGAGCAACATTCTTAAGCCAATCTCGTTGCATGAGGTTCTCCGTTATCTCAGATTTGAATAGTCCAGGGGATATTGAGTTTACTCTTATTCCATGGGCTCCCAATTCAATGGCCATTACCTGTTATCATTTCAGTTTTTAGAGTACCACTAAAAACATTAACAATTACCAGCCAAAGGAAAGGGTGAAAACACTGCATCACCGACATAGCATGTGGGAAGGAGATCAAGATATTGGAGAAGAAAATTGATCATTTTGTGAGGGCAAAATGTAGTTCAAAAAGGGAAAAACACCTATATAGGACCATAAAAATGACAATTCCCAAAATATGACCATGCATGGTTGTTTTCTAATATATGACTAGGCACATAAGAAAAAGAAAATGTCGAGTTATATGCATACATGCCATATGTCATCATATTAGGGGAACAAAGATATGGATCATATTTTGGAAAACATGCAAGGTTTTAGTCATATACGGAGTATGAGGTAATTTTCTCTTATAAAAAAGATGAAATTTCACTACATGTTTGGTCCCATAGAAGGCATAGACACAAAACAGTAAAACACACTTTTCAACAAACCTTTTTGGATAAGCCAAATTAGTGCAATGCCAGTTTTACTGAACTACTCCAAAAAGACTGGGAATTTCGAAATAAGTTTAGGGGATTACGGGTATTAGTAACAATTCATAATTCGTAAAAGCTCATACCTTGATTGAGCATACTACGAATGAAAACAAACTGGTTCCTTGCTTCAACATGACTTGTTTTAGAGACAGAGCAAGTAAGAAACAAGATTTTCGTATAACCGTCTACGTGAAATATTATCAATAAAGCATATCCATTATACGTAGTACTAGATAGACTATATTGCAGTTAATAGATCCCTAAGAAGTAAAGTACCATGCCAGGCATTGTGCCCTAAAATTATAGCTATTACTACGTTAAATATAGGGACACAATTCAGGATGTTGAAGAAAAAATGATCAACTTGTGAAGGCAACGAGTGTTTTTTAAAGGATGAATCTTCAATGCAAAATTGCCCACCAGCAGGCATAAACACAAAACATACTTTTCTATAGAACGTTACTATAATGAATATATAAATTATAGGAGAAATACGAAGTATATTGATATTGAGATTGAAAAGTCTTGTGTCTATTACAAAGGCAAAGTGCCCCGTTATATACAACAAGTGGTTCCTAATTTGTCTCCAATAAAATAGCCAAGCATTAACTAGTAATATACACTTGCTAAATATACAAAGCTACGGTCCATCTACAAGAAAAGAAGAGTAAATATATTTATAGAATATATATCTCAATACCCCCCCTCAAGTTGGAGCGTGAAGGTCATGAATGCCCAACTTGGCAAGTAAAAAACGAAAAGAACGGGGGCCAAGAGCTTTTGTCAATATATCGGCTATCTGCAAAGAAGTAGGAACAAAAACAGGAGCAATCGTGTGCCGAAGAATTTCATCTCGGATAAAATGACAGTCTATTTCAATATGTTTCGTGCGTTCATGGAACACTGGATTATTAGCAATGTGAAGTGCCGCCTGACTATCACAATGTAAGGAGACAGGAGACGAATGTAAAACTCCCAAACTGTGTAAAAGCCCTTTTAGCCAGATAATTTCACATGTAGCGGAAGCCATGGCACGGTATTCAGCTTCGGCTGATGAACGGGACACAGTGGCTTGCTTCTTGGTTTTCCATGAGATGGGTGAGTCACCAAGGGACACAAAGTAAGCGGTTAGAGACCTTCTACTCAAGGGACAACTACCCCAATCTGCATCACAATAAGCATGCAAGGATAGACTAGAATCAGCTCGTAACAAAATACCCTGACCAGGACTGTTCTTCAAGTAACGAACCACACGAAGTGCAGCCTCCCACTGAGACCGAGTAGGTTTTTGCATGAACTGAGAGAGAATATGAACAGAATAGCAAAGCTCAGGTCGAGTAATAGTAAGATAAATTAACCGACCAACCAAGCGTCTATACTTGAGAGGATCAGCCAGCAAATCATCGGAAGCAAGGGCCAAAGAGTGATTTTCTTCCATAGGTGTACTGGCGGGTTTAGCAGCAAGAAGTCCTGTCTCAGTCAGAATGTCTAGAGCGTATTTACGCTGACAAAGAAAAATACCATGGGAGTTACGAGCAACTTCAATGCCGAGAAAATATTTGAGTTTACCCAAGTCTTTCATATGAAAACACTTATGCAAATAAGCCTTGAACTGAGTGATAGAATGACTGTCATTTCCAGCGATAACTAGATCGTCAACATAGACAAGAATGCTGAGAGAGACAGATCCTTTTTGATAAACGAACAAAGAATGGTCCGAAGAACTGTTTTGAAACCCATAAGAACGTAAGGCATTAGCGAGTTTAGCATACCAGCATCGAGGTGCCTGACGAAGTCCATATAGTGACTTACGAAGGCGACAGACTTTACCCGGAGAGCTATTTCCAAAACCAGGAGGAAGTTTCATATATACTTCTTCAGCGAGATCACCATGAAGAAAAGCATTATGTACATCCATTTGATGTAACTCCCAATTTTTAATAGCAGCAACAGCAAGAAATGTACGAACTGTGACCATCTTAACAGTTGGAGCAAACGTTTCAACAAAGTCAATACCTGGTATTTGGTGATTTCCAAAGACCACCAGGCGAGCCTTATAACGTTCAACGGCACCATCGGACCTGTACTTTATACGAAATACCCACATACAACCAATAGCGGTTTTACCGGGAGGTAAATCCTCGATAGTCCAGGTTTGATTATCCTCCAAAGCGCGAATCTCATCCCGCATAGCTTGACACCACCGTGGATCAGACAAGGCCTCCTTATAAGAGGAGGGTTCAACATTTGTGGTAATAGCTGCAAGGAACTTACGATGCTTGTCAGAAAAAATATTACAATTCACATATTGTGAAATAGGATACCGCGTACCTGAGATCACGAGAGGTGGGGGTGCAGCAGTGGTGGGGGCAACTCGAGTAGTATACGTGACGAAATCACGATGACGAGTGTTCGAGAATTTCTGCCGGTGCCCTCTTCCCAGAGGCACTATACTAGTCGTGATTTCCTCATTATTGCCTGAAACGTTAGAAGCATCTGGAGCAGCATCAGATTCCTCGGACCCATGATTGTTCTCACTGCCCATCGTATGAGAAAATTCCTGTTGAGCTGGACCATCTTCAGACCCAAGAGAATTTGACGAGGCTGCATGAGACTCATGCAAAAAAGAGTAATGGTCCGTATTGATATTGTCAATGTTTTCAACGTTAAAATTCCCATGCGAGACCTGCTGCCCATCCATTAAAAGCGCCCTGCTATTTGCGTAAGGAAATATATTTTCATAGAAAACCACATCTCGGGAAGAGAAATATTTACCACTGTCCAAATCGAACACATTCCAACCTTTCTTGCCGAAAGGATATCCAACAAAAATACATTTACGACTTCTACTGTCAAACTTATCAGTAGGGTTCATCTCCTTAGCATAACAAAGACATCCAAAAATACGAATAGTATTCATATCAGGCAAAGTGCCGAATAAAAGTTCAAAAGGAGTCTTTCCTTGTAAAATGCGAGTAGGAGTCCGGTTTATTAAATAAGCGGCACTGAGAATACATTCACCCCAAAAATCAACCGGTAAAGCAGCATGGAAACGTAGAGCACGGGCCACATTAAGAATGTGACGATGTTTTCGTTCCACGCGTGCATTTTGTTGAGGTGTCCTTACCATGGAAGTTTGGTGAATGATGCCTTGTTCAGAAAAATATTTCCGTAAAACCATGAACTCAGTTCCGTTATCACTGCGTACAGTTTTGACAAGCAACCCAAATTGCCGTTTTATTAAAGCAAAATAATTCATTAGTAATGAGGATACCTCGCTTTTGTGTTTCATCAAATATACCCAAACTCCTCGTGAGTGATCATCAACTATAGTAAGAAAATAGCGTGACTTGCACGAACGATTGGCACTATACGGTCCCCAAACATCACAGTGAATTAAATCAAATAAATGAGATGCTCTATTATTACTTAACGGAAAAACGGAACGAGTTTGCTTTGCCCGATGACAAACATCACATGGCTTATTAAATAAATTGCTAGAGCTACCGTTAACTTGAGGCAAAAAATTCAAAACTTGCAATGACGGATGTCCCAAACGTGCATGCCAAAGCTCTCCAACATCCAAATGGGTTGCATTATGTATACGTACTCGTTCCCCCATTGCCAGGTAGAAAAGTCCACCGGACTGCTCACCCACACCAATCCTGATCCTCGAGACTTGGTCCTGTATAACACAATGAGAGTGAGTGAATTGAATACTTAATCTCTTATCCTTGAGCAAAGTAGAAACGGACAAAAGGTTGCACGTAAATTCCGGAACAAATAAGACATTATTTATTGTAAGATGTTCATTCAACTTAATGCTACCGATCTTAGTAGCCTTGATAAAAGACCCGTCGGGCAGCCCAATTTCCGTGGGTATGATATCCACGAGAGAATCAAACAACCGAGCACTACCACAAACATGGTGTGAGGCACCGGTGTCTATAATCCATAATGTTTCTGCCTTACCATGCAAACGGATATCACCGAGATCAGCGGCAATTTCTCCCGCATGTGCAACATTGGCCTTCGGTTGCTGATTAGAGGAGTTGTTCTGAAGGTTGACTGAACCTGCATTGCTTCCGGATTGTCTAGACTGTCCCCGAGCTTTACCTCCGTTACGTCGCCGTTCTAGCCATCCATCGGGATATCCATGCTTGATGAAGCACTTTTCTTCAGTGTGTCCTGTTTTAGAACAAAAGGTACAAATAATAGCATTGTTATTGTTAACAAATCGGGTACCCCCCCCTGAACCATGACTGCCAGGAGTATTGCTTCGAACAGCGAAGCTCATGGGTGTGGTATCTTCTCCTTGGGTCCCTGTAATTGTTCTGACTTCTTCTTCTTGAATAAGTCGTGAGTACACCATATTGAGTGACGGCAAAGGATCAATTCCCAGTAGACTTGATCTCACATTTGCATAAAAGGGCTCGAGTCCCATTAGGAACTCTCTTACTTGATCTGCTTCACGCCTCTGCCGGAGTTTAGTCGTCAAATCACACTTGCAGCCGGTGCAATTACAGGTCGGAAGAGTGTCAAAATCGTTCAAATCATCCCACAATTTCTTCAGACGCCCATAATAACTCATAATAGTTTCTCCCGTCTTCTGTTTACAGTCTGATAAATCAGATTTAATCTGATAAATCTTTACTCCGTTACCGACTGAAAATCTTTCTTTTATTTCGTTCCACAAATCGCGGGCAATATCGCGATAAGAGATGGACGTTCTAAGCGAAGCATCAATGGTGTTGAACATCCACGCTACGATCATGGAATTCACAGTCCACCAGTCTTCGATTTCAGGGGCACTGTCATCCGGTTGTTTGAGACTTCCATCGATGAACACATGCTTGCGTTTAGCGCGAAGAGAAACCCGGAAACCCCTTGCCCATTCTTCATAATTATAACCCTTCAAGACAACATGGGTTATAATCAAACCCGGGTGATCACTCGGACTAAGAGAATAAATCTGACTTTGGGAAGAAACTGTTCCACCAGTCATGATAATCGCCGGATAGCGTAGGGATCGGCTATGGCGTCTCTGATACCATATAGGAGAAATACGAAGTATATTGATATTGAGATTGAAAAGTCTTGTGTCTATTACAAAGGCAAAGTGCCCCGTTATATACAACAAGTGGTTCCTAATTTGTCTCCAATAAAATAGCCAAGCATTAACTAGTAATATACACTTGCTAAATATACAAAGCTACGGTCCATCTACAAGAAAAGAAGAGTAAATATATTTATAGAATATATATCTCAATATAAATCAACTTTCACTTTATGAGTAAAACTTCTATAAAGCCAGGCTGCAAACAGTTCCTGCCAATTATTCCAAACAATATTGGAAATAAGTTTTAGAGGTAGACAGGTAGTATACCTACTGACTTTTCATTCAGGTTGTACCTTGAACGTAATAAAAACAAAAACCTGTATCTTACAAAAGGGGGTCTGAGGAAGGAAGCAAACAAGATTTGCAGATGACTATGTGCTAAAACAAGCTAGGTTGCAGCTAATGAAGCTCTAGGAATTGAAGTACCAAACAAAAATGAGGCGTAAAAATGCAGCGATTTAAGAGTTGAGACCAAAGTGAGGATGTTAAAGGGAAAAAAGATCTACCTTCGTCAATGAATTGACAGCAACTTTTGAACAAACATAGGCAAGACCTCCAGGTAACTGCCCACGATCAAGACCAGCAATTGAAGAGATATTAATGACAGATCCTCCTTGCTTTGCATTGCACATTTGCAAGCAAACATATTTTGACACGAGCCATGTACCCACTAAGTTTGGTCTCATGATGCTATCCCACTCTTCTTCTGTTAAATCCAATGGACTGTGTACCCTTCCTGTAATTGAAGACCATTGCATCATTTGGTTCTTAGTACAATTTTTAAATTTCAGTTCATAAAAAATGTTGGCCAACAAGACCTTTCCAAAATTTAAAATTTAGGACTATGCTATGGCTGCAATAACAGTCAAGCCTTAATCCCAAAAGACATAATTAAAATTCAGGACTTCGCTAATTACAATAAGTAGTCCTTAAATAGTGATCAATTTTACTTATAATTATGCATTGATTAGGGCATCCTCATTCATTAGTGTATTTGAAGAATAATTGGATGATGTATTAGATAATTTTAAAGATTATCGTTGTGAGAGAAGGATTATTGTAGTTAAAATACATTTAATGCATATCCAGAAAAACTAATCATTTGAGATGAAAAGTTTTGAGCTTTGAGGTTATTTAAAATTTATTCGGTGAATGTTGTGTGACAATGAAAAACAATGAGAAAAACAATTTATTTAAAGAGCGTGAATGAAGACACTCTTACATTTAAATTTTATTTTACAAAAATACATAAAAGATCACATTTTACAAAAAATACATAAAAATAGATTTTTAAACCAAATACGATAATTATGATAAAAAAAACAAATACAATAAAAGAAATTTGTATATTATTCAGACTAAATTTTCGAATTTTTGGACTATATGTTCTAAGTTCTAACGCCTGATCTATGCCCTGCTGGCATGTGGATACAATTTCAATATTTTAATTCATCAAAAATGCTGGCAAAAGGTCAATAACTTAGTCGATCATAAATGCTGGACAAAATGGAAATGAAAGACGATCCATGAAATTACGAAATCACCTCTGACGCCGGCGTTGTTAACCAGGGCATCGATACGGCCAAACGCATCCCAAGCCTTCTGCACGGCGGCCTCGATGGCGGGCCCATTTGCGGTCACGTCAAGCTGGACAGCCACCGCCCGGGGCGGACGACCGGAGCTCGGATCCCCGGAACCGCTCCCGTTAATCTCAACGCAGAGGGATTCAAGCCGGTCGATCCGGCGAGCTGCGGCGACGATTCTGCAGCCGGATTTGGCCAAGTCGAGGCAGATCTCTCGGCCCAACCCCGACGACGCTCCAGTGACCATCACCACCTTCTCGCCAAGGCTCCGCCACGGCTCAAGGTGGGGCGCCACTGGGCTACGCCGCTCCATTATTGGTTGTCCTTTAGCTTCGCGATCACCAATAATGCAGAAGCGTTATATCGGGTATATATAATGTTTGCAGTAAAAAAAAAAACTGTAGTTCTAGTTTCTTAATGAATTTAATGTTTGTAAGGAATGAAGAACTGCAGGGAAGAATGATTCGGCAGACCTGAATTGGAGCTGGAGCCTACAAAGTTAGTTGAGATGAATATCCGTGGTTAGGTGACCCTGTTTCATAAATTGGATCAAAGTCAAAAATTAATATCACAGTAAAAGTGGACGAATGGTAGCCAACTTGCGCAATTAGAGACGGCAGTGGGACCAATGCCCCGCAGGTGAAAAAACAACGTCTCTGCTCCGCACGCCTCCAAAATTGCTCCGCGCACCCGACAAATTTGTCCTTGGTCAATTGCTCACGCCACCCCGAATGTGCTAGGAGCACCCCCTACGTTATTAACAAAATACCAAGCATCTCTTGATTTTTATTTTAATGGGCCTTTTTGCATCTTTTAAAAAAATAAGTTACGGAGTATAATAATATGGAATTCTCGTAGATGAGCGAATAACAATTTGGACATTTAGTCTCCCTCCAATAAGTCGGTGCCATGTGGCCAATTTTTCTTTTTTATAAAATGTTATAATTTTTCCAATTTTGCTCCTATTTTTATAAAAACTATATCAAATTAAATAATTTTTTATGATCTTTCATATGACACCAATATCATATATGTAAAATTTAAAAAACATTGGTCATGTTTATTGAACGGCCAATTAATGTATACTCCGTATTTACTATGTATGTAGTAGTATTTTTTTTCATCTAGTCTAGTCCGATCTGATCTAATTTATTTGAATCTGTCTGGATCAAATTAGTTGAAATAAAAACATTTCACATATCATTTGCATCCTAAATCTAGTCATGTAACATATATGGTCGTGATAGTAAGAACATGTTGTAATCACTTGTGGCAACGAAGCATTGTCGTCAAGCCAAATCTGTGCGTCAACATACGTAGTCATTTTATGCATATCATATGGTAATGTGAAATCAAAATGGAACTATAGAATATTGTTTTCTTACAATTATGTAGTGATGTTGAGATTAAAGCCGAGCAATGCAAAAAATTGTCTTCGGAAGACTACTACCAGGAGGAGATATCATGGGCAAACAAGTGACTGGTTCGTGAAGGTCAAGATGCACTAAAATAACTTGGTATAACGTTGCAAAGATCAACCTCGGGGGTGTCCGTCATGTGTATCCATATATGTTACAAGACTAGATTTAGGATGCGAATGATATGTAGAATGTTTTAATTTGAACTGGTTTCAATCCAGACAGATTCAAACAAATTAGATTAGATCAGATCAGACTAGACTAAATTTAAAAAATACTACTCCGTAAGTAGTAAATATACATTGATTCGCCGTTCAGTAAATCTGACCAATGTTTTTTAACTTTTACATATATGATATTGGTGTCATATGAAAGATCATAAAAATTATGTAATTTGATATAGTTTTTATAAAAATAGGAGCAAAATTGGAAAAGTTATACTCCGTAACATGTTATAAAAGAAATAAGAAAAAAAGCCACATGGCAGCAACTTATTCGCGGCTCTCATCCTACAAGAATTCCCATATGCTTGGTTATACTCCCTCCGTTCTTTATTATTAGTCCTTCTTTCCTTTTTGGGACGTTTTTTTTATTTGTCCTCCTTTCCATTTAAGGAAAGTTTTTACTTTAAATATACCTTTATACCCCCATTTTTATTACTATTACCCCTTTCTCTTTCCTACTTTTTCATTTACCCACTACTCATTACACCGTTTTACACTACCCCTACTACTTTACTCTTAAAACCCGTGCCAAAACTTAAGGAGACTAATAAAAAAGAACGGAGGGAGTAACTTATTTTTATTTTAAAAAGTAATAAGGCCCATTAATTAAAATTAAAAATGAGGATATGCTTGGTTAATCACGTACGTACTAACGTACATAGGTGGTGCGCCAATGCGCCTATTCTATTCGAAGTAGCATAACTGCGTAAGCAATTGACAAGAACAAGCTTGTCCAGATTTGATAAAAAATTGGTGCGCATAGAAATTTTGGAGGCGCGCGGAGCATCACCCAAAAACAACAAGGCAAAGGAAACAGAGAAATGATTGGTACTACGTTTTTTTCACAAGCTCGTCGGGCTTGAATTGGTTTCATCGGTTTGGTTGAGTCTGGTTTTTCATAGAGAAACATGTTTAATTTTCGTACTGATTCTCAGAGGTGGTGTATAACTGTATATTAGTGGATGATATTCTTATTATAGGCTCTTCTGCTTCATTTGTTTCTTCTGTCATAATTACTTTATCTAATCAGTTTGCAATGAAGGATTTAGGGGATGTCCATTATTTTTTTGGGTATTCAGGCTAAACGTACACGTACAGATTTATTTTTGTCTCAGGCAAAATATATATCTGATCTTTTACGTCGTTTTCACCTTCATATATACTGTCAAACCTGTCCGTATACCTCTACCTTCGCGCACTAGACTCTCTCTCACAGATGGGGAACTGTTATCTGATGTTACTGAGTATCGCAGTATGGTAAGTGCTCTTCAGTATCTAACTATTACTAGACCTGATATTACTTAGGGTTGGGACTTTGGAACCAAGAACCGGAGAACCGAACCGGACCGAACCGTTATAACCCGGTTCGGTTCGGTTCCAACATTTATTAGTTATTTTTTAACGGTTCGGTTCCTATTTTTTATTAATGGTTCGGTTCTCGGTTCCTGAAAAAATATGTACTAGGAACCGTTAAGTAACTGTTATATATAATAATAATTAAAATTATATATATTTCTTATGAGTATATATATATTAATGTATATTTACTTAACCAAGCAGTCCAGCCCAGCTGGTTGTGAGGTTACCGTGCCTAGTGGGAGGTCTCGAGTTTGAAACCCGCTAGACACATAAGGGTTCAAAACTCAATGAAGTGAGTTTCAGCCTTGATTACTCCGGCCCCCAGCCACCCACCATTCATTATTTTAATTTAGTTATTCAACTATTTAAAACTATTATTCACTTCAACCGGTTCTCTTAGGCTTCGTAGACCTTTCATTAGGTCAGAACTCCAGCAGGTCGAACTTTGAAGGTCCAAAGTATTTAAAATTATTATTCTATTTAACTGTTTAAGCATATTTGTATCGTAATTTCAAACGTACAATGTCTCTTTGGAAAAAATTTAGTCATGATTTGTAAGAATTTTTTCGAAAACTAGGAACCGTTAAATGGCAAGAACCGAACCGTTAAGAACGGTTCGGTTCCTTATCGGTTCTATAAAATAATTTATAAGAACCGAACCGTTAATAAAATTTCATATTTTCAAACGGTTCCACATATTTGGCCTAGGAACCGAACCGGTCCCAGTCCTAAATTATTACTTATGTTGTACACCTTGAGTCTAAGTTTATGCATGCTCCACGTACTACTCACCTTTTGGCAGTTAAGAGGATTTACAGTATCTGCGGGGTACCAGCACTCATGGTTTATGGTTACGAGCAGATAAAAATATTTCAGTTGTTACGGCTTATTCTGACACAGATTGGGCAGGTTGTCCCGACAGTTCGCATTCCACTACGGGTTATGCTGTTTTTCTGGGCTCCAATTTAATCTCATGGCGCTCCAAGAAACAACTGACGGTGTCCAAGTCCTTTACTGAGGCCGAGTACAAGGCCATTGCATACACTGTTTAGGATACACTTTTCATCCGATCACTTCTGGCAGACATGGATATTTTTATCTCGCCCCCGGTGCAACTTCTTTGTGATAATGTCTCAGCTTCGTATCTGGCTTTTAACCCCATTCAACATGATCAGAGTAAGCACATTAAAATTGAATACCATTTTGTTGTGAGCGAGTAGCACATGGAGATCTTGTGGTGAAGCATATTCCTACACAATTGCAGTTAGCTGATATCTTCATCAAGAATTCATCTAGTCAGCGTTTTCAATTTTTACGTTCCAATTTGCACGTGATTTCCCCTGCACAAATTGAGGGGTGTAATAATGTAATGTTTAGGGATTATTTTGTAATTCTCCATAAATCTGTTTTATTATAAATACAAGGCTAAGGCACCCAAGAGGGTATGCCATTATTTCCCAAAATTATATTTTCGTATAATACTATCTTAGTCGTCTTTCGAAAAAATACTTGGGCGAAATTTATACTGGTAGCAAGGGAGTGCCACAAAGGTAGCGAGGGCGAAAAATACTTGGGCGAAATTTATACTGGTTTTATACTGCCAATACTGGCAAAATTATATTTTCGTATTATACTTGGCAGTATAATACTTGGACATAGGTCAACTGGTAGCGAGGGAGTGCCACAAGGGTTAGGTCCCAGGTTCGACTCCCGGCAACTGCAAGTACCGGGGACGGAGCCACACTCTCTATCTGTCAGATTGTGATTATAATCCAATTTACAACCTCCCATCGTGTCGTCCGGTCGGTGTCGGGGGTCCTTGGGGATGGGGTGTCATCCTTGTTTTTTTCAAAAAAAATCTTACTCGTGATTAATTCGGTATGAAAAAAGAATATCTCATTTTAAAACATGTTAACAAATTCGGTACTATTTGACTATTTGTAACACCCTCTCCGCCCGGTCTAGCCGGTTCGAGACAGATGTCACTGTCGTTTATCATTTAGCAAAACTTTCCAATTAAATTAGAAAATCATTTAAGAAAATGTAATCGTTATCTCTTTATTGACAAACATGTCACACGAAAACTTAATTTGAGGTATGAATAATAAAATTTTGAAACCAAAATTGTTGGTATTGGCCCCCTTTTTTCCCATAAGCCCAAGACCTTGAAATTGGGTGACCCGGCCCTTGTTTGCCTTCTTTCCGTTCGCACTTCCTTTCCTTCCCTGGAGCTGCTGCGATTCTTTCTCCCCTTCCATCGATTAATGCGTATCTTCTGGTTTGGTAAGTTGCCATATCTGATTCCTTCACTTCTCCTATTTAATCCCCTTCTCTCTGTCGATGGAAGGGCTGGCCGCGATAATCTTTTCCCAGAACCAGTCTGCCCCCTTTCTCTTCTTTGGTGGGTTTCGCCGGAAATAGACCATTTTGGCCGGAATTAAGGTTGCTGGCTGACGCCCCTTCTCCCCTTAGTGATTCTAGTGGTGATATTGGTATCCTTTGTGGATATAAAGCTGAGACCTAAGCTGGATTCGAGTTCTTACAAAAATAATACAAGTTTTATTTTGAAGAATTGTTGGTCGTACCAACTTAAAACATGGAAATAAAAACAAATGCATTGTCATCCTCTCCAGATGTCTCATCGTTCCAAGCTCCAACTTGAATCTCTTATTCACCTACGTGTAGAAAAACTGCACGCTCAGCAATGAATTGCTGAGTGATACTATAATATAACATGTAATAATCATGTATCTGTATTTGGTACTCAAATATATGTCAAAGAAGCATTAATATCATTATAGTCCATTTACACAATTAAAACGGGTGAGTGAAACATGCA